ACTAATTATCTCGCGCGTGCCTTGTCACTCGCATGTGCTGGTCTGAATCACTCATCATCTTGTTCTCATTTTACTTCAGGTACACTCGTCAAGTGATAGATGAGACACTTCGTGCTTCTGCGCTCGCTCCATGGGGAGCCAGAGTCTACGAGTACGACCTGCAAGTTGGAGAATTTGTGATTCCTAAAGAGGTGATTAAATCCTTTTGTGATTTACAGTCTAGGAGGGAGGCATTGGGATTTTCGGTTTTGCGATATTTTTTTAGATCGGTTTTTTCGGTTTTTGTGCCACAAATCTTCGGTTTTGCTGTTCATTGGGGTTTGGAGATTTTCGGTTTTCTAGCGTTTGGTTTTCGGTTTTCGTTAAAAATACTGACAGGTTTCCTATTTAGGTTCCGGTTTCTCATAGATCTGAGTGGCAATTACGCGCCTCCACTGATCTCGAATAGCCACCAAAACTCTGTATATTCCTCATGCTGGCACTGTATCGGAGCGATTAGGGTTTGGATAACTGGGATGTGAAAATTTATCGGTTTTAACCGTTTTGCTTGCGGTTTTCGCTTTTGATCGATTTTTTTCGCGGTTTTGGGAGAATTTTTTTCTACGGTTTTGCGGTTTCTAATATACCCTAATGCAGTTTTTCCTCGCGTTAAGCTTGAACGTTCTTCCTATTCATGATACCTACTTTCATTGTTTCATAGACCCCCATTCTTCTTCCCTTTGGAGTTGTATTACAGGAACAGAATTTGTGGCCAGAGCCGAAAAGGTAACAGTTATGGCAGACGTTAATTACAGTGTTCATGTGTACAGTTAACCCGGTTTAACTACGCGCGTTAAACTGCGTTTAACTGGTGTAACCCCGAAAAACTTAAACCAATCATGACTTGTTTGTTTTCGGTTCTACGTCACACGTTTGAAACGAGCACTGTATTATTCTCAATTTCCCTGTATCAGGTTTGATCCAGATCGCTTTAGCCCAGAGAACATCAAACAGCTTCCAAGCCTTGCCTATCAGCCTTTTGGATTCGCTGGAAAACGCAAGTGTCCCGGATGGCGATTCTCGATCGCGGAGGGACTGGTGTTCCTGTCTGTTCTTATCAGACGCTTCAAGTTCCATCTTGTTGAAGGACAGGAAGTGAAACCGGTTTATCGCCTTGTGACGTCACCAGCTGAGGAGGTCTGGGTCACAGTGACTGAGAGATGAATCATCAATTCAACTTTCTTTTAAAGGCCGACACTTATGATTTGACGTTTGGCTGCAGGTTTGTTWACTTGCGTCATAGACGTTTCTTTGTTCCATTGAAGAAAAAATGGGTGCTGAGACAATGCCGCACAATACTCCGACAAAAACATCAATTATATTGGCCAAAAATAGAATGAAATTTAATTGATTAATTTATAATGATAATATTAGTAGTATTAATAACGATGTGGATGATGATGATAATAGATACCATGACAACAATATTTCAAGAAGATCCCATTCGCAAAGGCGGTTGTTAGAGGGACCTTCAGAAATAAAAAAACCAAAAAGCGATATAATTCAAGATAAAGGCCAAGTTACCAATGTGAACTGATGGGGTTATTTGCGCGTGAAACTAACTGCATTTTGATCGAAAGTTGAATAATTTTCTCGTGATTTAAATGACGAATAACGAAAAAAATCGGTATATTTTGAGATGCACACATGTTTATGTGATTTTTACCAAAAACTTGGAAGCTAACTCTCAGGAATGAGAGTTCCAAAGCGAGTTAATGCCACCAAGCGACAATGAAGGGGTCACGAACAATTGTAATTGGTATGTTGTCGCAAGGAGATAAAGAAAAACAAAAGCTCAAATGTAATGGTCTTGACCGTAGTCTTGACAATAAACTTTTTTGTTGAAGGGTTTTGATGGCTGTGTTTTGAGGAACTCTTGCATAATAAAAAATTTAAATTGACAGAATCTATTTTATTCTCTTTGATGGCACTACTAGAAGAGGTGATCTCAGAATATAATAAAGGAGACGAACATTAAATTTTTTCAAGCAGGCATCCTTTATGCCCCTAGTGCTTTCAATAAGAGCCGTAGTGTGCGACTCCAAATGACTCCCAACTCCCCCCCCCTCTCTTCAATTTGGTGGAAATTCCAACTTAAGCCCACCTATGCTCCGGTTACCTTGTTCCCAGGACCTCTCTTCTTTCTTAACTATCATGCACTATTTTGCTATCAAACGATCATATAACTCTCCTTAATGGAAGATCGTTCTACTAATACCAAACAAAAATGATTTTGTAAGGACCTTAAGACTAAACCAGTCTATAGAAGATGTGAATGTTTTGATTTATTCATCGTGTTTTGACATGAGTCATCAACCACGCACCTTCCAGAAGTGTTTTCCTTCTTTTGCGTGCTAAAACGGATTGTCAATCATCTGCTGACACGTCATTCGCCTTTCGCACCGCTCTGTTAGGTTTTTACTAATGAATCAATGGCGAACCGTTCACCACTTTCAATTGAACGTTTATCGAATTTTCTTTACAGTAAAAGCCTATGGTGTACGTATAATTAACAGAATATTTTTTTTTTTTTGCTTCTTTTTGTTGCGGCTGCACTAAGATAATTAACTGGGGTTTTTTCTTAGAGACCTAGTTAAATTTCCAAAAAGGTGAAAGGTTGGACGCAACAAAATGGGATATGAATCGAGTGAACTCAATTGATATCATGGGGATGACCAACAAAGTGCAGACTTCGAGGACCTCGCTCCTTTTTCTCGCTTCCTCTTTTTTTCCTTTTACTTTCTCTTCTCTCACGGACGAGGCATTCCCTCAGTCGTCCTTCTGATGCGTTCTACACAAGCTACCATGGCGCAACAACAACAACAACAACTTTAATATTTATATTGCGCAAAATACACGTAATATATGATCAAATGCGCATTACATGAAATGAAATTATCGACATTAATAAGTTATCCAGAATAAATCAAAATATACAAAAGCAATGGATCTATAAAAATATAATATATATATATATATATAGTATAAACATAGTCCTAATAAAAAGCTAATCTAAAAAGATGGGTCTTTAGTAATCCTTTGAACCTATTAAGATTATGCTCATTTCGTATTTGTGATGGTAACCCATTCCACAATTTAGGTGCCGCAGCTAAAAAAGCGCGGTCTCCCAATGTCTTTTTTAGTTAAAGTTCTCCGCGTTTGAAGCATGATTCCCATCGTACACGATCTTAAATTGTATCTCTGTTCTTCCTTTTGGCTAATGGGCTCTTGTAGATATACTGGAGCTTGTCCATAAATCGCCTTAAAAGTAATTGTAATAATCTTAAATTGAATCCTAAATCTTACTGGAAGCCAATGAAGGGTACGTAAAATTGGTGAAATGTGATAAAACCTTAGAATCCTAAATATAAGTCTTGCTGCGGAATTCTGGAGCCGTTATAACTTTGCTATTTGTTTAGCTGGTAACCTATACAACTGAAAATACTATTACAATAGTCAATGCGCCCACTTATTAGGGGATGAACAAGTGTCCGGGTTGCTTGGTTGCTTAAATACTTACATTTGTAATTTAATAATAGGTTGCTCTACACGTGTTATTGAAGACTCGTGTTACTATCTATCTATGTCCCAGTAAGTTATTTACCGACTGAAAAGGCAACACTCGAGCGTCCCCTACTGCAAGCGAGTCAATATGAACCTTGGATAGTTGCTGACGGGTACCTATTGTTACTTAAACTCTGTCTTGCCATCATTGATCATCAGTTTGTCACACAGCATCCAGGCTCTTATCTCATTTACACACCGTTCCATAGCAGCAATGGCATCCTCGGTACTTGAGAGACAGCCACTGAGGTTTAAACGCTAAATACAACTGCGTGTCGTCTGCGTAAGCGTGAGCGCTAGGCAGGTGTCTCTTGACAACTTCAAACAGTTTACTGGCATATAGAGTAAACAATAACGGCCCTAAACATGAACCCTGAGGAAGTCCTCTATTTAATTGTAGATTCCGAACATTTGCCACCTAGCGAGACACACCGAGAACGTCCCGATAGGTATGACGCAAACCACTCTAGTGCTAGTGTTCCTCGGATCCCAAAACTTGTACTTTGATTGTACTTAGCCGGGATAGTAACACAGAAATGTTCCACCGTATCGAAGGCTGCACTCAAATCCAACAACACAAGCAGAACAACTTCTTGACGATTCATTGCCATTAATAGATCGCTACATTATATAGCGCAGATGTTGGGGTGTTCTCCATCGCCGTTCAATGACTCGTCTCTGATTTGGGTCTATCCGAAAACTCAGCGTTGCAGGCGGAAATCACGAATCCTGCCATGCGTGGCGTTTTTAGAGAATCCTTTCGAATGAAAATCCAGTCCTTTCAAGCATTTTGCCGTATTCCTATGGTGGGGGGATTCCTAGGGGGCCCCAAACTCTCTATAGCCTGGTTCACATATAATCGCAGACGATCGCATATGATCACAAGCGATCGCACGATCGCTGAAACCGCTCAACCAAAGATCGCGAATCGCATGTTCACATACGATCGCAGCCGATCGCAGCGATTTGTGACAACCAAGTCGGGTCCACAATTTACCATTCAGCGACAATACAATGTAACTCCAGTCAAACAACATGGACGCAGAGGACGCTGAACTTTTAAATAATAGGTATTAACATTCTGCTTCTGTTGTCTTTACTTAAGCGGAAAATCGTTGCTAGGTTAAAGAAGAAACGTCGCTTCTTGGTGCGGGAGGTATTAAGAAAGAGAGAGTTCTTTGCTAAAGCGATTGAACAAACAATCGTATCTTCTAATTTCTTCCATAAACTGTTCCGTGCCAATTTTACCTTCCATCTTGTCGAAACACACGCACGTGTAAAAGTTGATAAACAACTGGTTGTCATAGTATCATGCCGCTTGCAGTGCTTCACGCTGGGAAAACATAGCATTGTGGGACACATTCCGATCGCATGATTGCAGAACTTTGTTCACATATGATCGCACTCGATCGCACACGATCGCACGGATAGAACATGGTTCTATTCCTGCGATCGCGATCGCACCTGATCGCAGAGCTGTTCACATATGATTACAGACGATTGCATGCGATCGAGTGCGATCGTCTGCGATCATATCATGGAACCATGGTTATGAGAGGATAATCTTGTAGAGCTCCGTTTGGAAGTTTAGGCTCCGCTCTGTAACTGCGTACATGATAAAGCGACCAAATCCTAACCTTCAGATAATGTTGTGAGTGTTATTTTTGTTCTCTGGAAGCAATTTCAGGCCATGATTTTGTTGAGTTTTAGCTGAGCTCTCATCGTACCACTGCCAGTAATATACACTTTTCATTTGAGCTCCAAATGGTACGTAACTACAGACAGTCAAAGACTGCATGTGATTACTGGTATAGCACAGTTTTTTGTACACTGAAAAGAACTGAAGGTTTTATAGTGACGTTAGAAGGTAATGTTCCAGAATATTTGTCTCATGCAAAACAGAAAACCTGCCGCATATTTAAAAGTATCTTGTTCTACAAGAGAAAGATGATTCAATAAGATATTGTCTAATGACAATCAACCAATAATTAAATGGTAACAAATATTAATATATACAATGATAATTATGATAACAATTGTAACCTAATAATAATTATTTGAAGCGACTAACTCAAAAGCTTAATGGTTCCTCTATTCTCTGGGCTCCAACAATGATTACCTATGCTTCTTTTAACTTTGCCTGTTAACTGAAAATATATTGTTTTACTTAATTGCAATTCCATTTTTTGAGACTGTTGTTTTAGGATATTCCGTCACTATGCGTCTTAAGATACTCCGCCATTCCGTTGGCAGAAGTGGTTAAACTAAACAAACTGCAGAAACTAGCTGAGTTGGTTACCTGGTTAAGTTTGTCAAACTAGCCAAAATGCTTTAGCTAGACAAAAGGCACAAACAATCTGAATTAGTGAGTCACAGACATTTGAAGAGAAACGACGCTCAAATTTGTTTCCATCGAAAGAAAAAGGGTCTGATGGACGAGGAAAATCCTGTTATCGAACGCCAAACCATGCGAGCGGACTAAACTATTTTATTCTCGATGAAATTTTCTTCAGACATATCATGACGGCTGAATGGTTAAAACATGACTATTTGTTTTGCCAAAATGTGGAGGCCTCCGAGGCAGGACATCGAGTTCTTTGAATATCGGCAAGAATTTGGCGATTTGCGAAAAACTGGCAAGGTTTTCAAATTGGGGCCATACTTATTTTACGCTACATGTTGACACATTCTTCACTTAAACAAACGAAAAAAAGCGCTAGTGCGACAGTTTGAGACTTTTATCGTCTTTTGTAGCATCACGTATTGCAAGAACTGAAAAGATTATATCGTCGGACCTTCATGATTCGTTGATTTAAACGGAAAGTACAAAATGCTCTCTCTTCAAAGAAAATAAAAATTTCTCCCCTAAGTTTTATGATGCACCGATCGCTTCAGTTTTGAATCACGCGCAACCCTGAAATGATTGCGAGATGCTTATCGCTTTCTGCTGTCTTCCATAGTGTCACGGCAAGCACCGAAAAACACAATGTGCAAGTGGGTATAATCCGGAAATCACAAAAGGAGAGAACTCAACTGTCACATAGAGTGCGAATGTCGAACTACTAAGATAATCCGAAAAAAAAACAAGTGACACCATAAAACATCAGGTCATGTTTGGGTCAAGATTGGAATTCTATTGTTACACTCACTCACTCACTCACTCATCT